GGACGAAGTCGCTGCCACAGCTAGTCATTTATAAACGTCGAACATAAGTAAATTTGTGTTGTAGGTATTAATTTAATCTATATTCAGAGTGTCGCTTCGAAGATATTAGTCAATATTAATGCCTACAGAAACAGGAAGGACGTCCACATAAAGCATGTAAAATTGCTTATCACAAATCTAGATAAGCAATAATTACACTCAGCCGGCAACGAAACGTTTTCAGAATTTAAAGTGTAAAAACCTGCGCCATTACCATTATGGGCATTTGGAAAAAACTCTACAAAAATTATCTTCTTTGCAAAAACGAAACGTCGCAAGTCATTCTCTTGTACAATATAAAAGAGACTTTGATTTAAAACTGTTAAGGTTGAGATTTCAAAACAGACTGACGTAATAAAGCCCTTAATAGATAATAATAATAACACGTAGAAAAACAGCATTAGCAATAAACTTTCTGTAATCTCTACAGTTATAATCTACGTGAACGAAAGAGAGGGTCAGGCTTGGTGATAAAATGTGACACGTGGAAAAGGGATAGATGTATTTCGTAGACGACTGGCCAAGTGAGTACAGTAGCCAATGGGAAGGGCGTTGGGGCGGCGCCAACAAAGAAATAGGAATTCGAAGTTTGAAATTGGTTCGAATGCTATCGTTTCGATCAGAAAAACGTTAGGATTTTGTAATGGAGTCATTTTTGTATTTGTAATTTATTTGGATCGATACATGTTAGAATTACATACTGTTTATTGTTAATATTACGTAAGTATATATACCTATCATAGCCATATCTAAGGATACATTTTTATATATATTTAGAACGCTCGCATTGAGTAATAATTAATAAGTATTATAAAATTCAAAAATGTCTAGGCAAAAGCCATAGGCACAAAACGCAATAAATTTGTATGAACGTAAGTAGATATGAATAAGAACTGAAAAAAATATTAAATAATACATAGGCATTAAGAAAGCATTTTCTATATAGGTACGATTATTACTTATATTAAAGTCAAGAAGCATTTTTACTATCAAGCCTACGTACCTAGTAAGTAACAAGTTTCAAAATGCAAAAGTACGGGCTGTGGATTCGATCACCACCGTGTCCAACATCCGGCAATCAGGATCATTAAATGATATTATGAGAAATATCGAGACCCCGTCTTTGTCACGAACCACCGTCCACATATTAAAAAGCCGTGAAGTTTAATCACGTTTCGATCTTTTATCTGATTTCCGTTAAAAAATCAATCCCTCCCCCTCGCGGGGCATGGGGCGAACACATTTCTGTGTCTGTTTCGCTGATCCGTAATCAAACAGGCAAGTAATTGATCAGACTTCTGTACCCTGCCTGAGCGAAACAATTGATTGTTTATCTGTGATTCGAGCGCAGGACCCTACGCGCTTAACGCAATGCTAGGCAATACGTTTAACCGTTTGGCTTGATTGGAATATGAAGATTGGATGAATATCTTAGAAATCTGTTCAGAAGTCGCAATAAAAATCTATATGAATAGAGGAGAAGACAGGGTCCCCGCTAGTTATGCCATATCGTTTTGATTTATGCCCCACCCTCATAACATCCTCGACGTAAATCAGACGAGAATTATTAAGAATCACGATGGATTTCCGATTAACAAAAACCAAAATATGTCAACAGCGCAATTTGAGATGTTATGTGCTAAGTACCACCCCCAAAGTGAACGCTATGCTTGTCTGTTTTCCTCGATCAGAAAAAAGTTACTTCACCTGGACTTTTTTTTCTGATATCATCTATACGTAGGTACTAATATAATAAAGCTTTGAAGAAGAGTTTGTTTTTTCTTTGTTTGTTTCAACGCACTTATCTCGGGAACTACTGGTTGGAACTAAAAAAAATATTGTTGAGTTCGGTAGAGCATTTATCCAGGAAAATTGCGCTGTTATCAATAGAAGCGTAGAAACAGCGGGAAATTAGGAAAAATGGGGATAATTATTAATTTCTGTGCGTTTCCGATGCATAGGTTGCGAAAACGGTCCAAGACACTTTTAATGATCCAAAAAACACGACACTATTTGTCTATCTTAGATTAACTTGCAAGAAGGACAGGGTGTTTGCTCCGAAATCTCTTTACATTACAGAAAACAAGAGACGAGCGACTTTAGATGTTAATAAATTAGTAAGGAATTATTTTTTTGTATTTCCTATTGTATGTCGGTCAGCAATTAGTTTCTACTATAGTGAAATACCCTCGGGGCACCCTTGGTCTAGCCGCAAACTCGCCCAAAACGCCCGGTTAGTATTCGTGGCTCCTTAGGAACACAATACGAAATAGTCAATCAAAAAAAGAAAAATAGTGAAATAGAAAGACATGCCCGAAGCATTACGTCACCCCGATACAATTTTCACAGCAAAAAAGCGATAAATTGCAGCGGTAACGTGTTGAACATGTAAAATGCATTGACTGACAGAATTAGGTACATTGTTATAGATTCCAGCCGAGATTGCGGTAATAGGCCCGACCTAGTTAGCTATAATAACTTATAATTAATTTAATGGCTCGCGATAAAATAACATTTTTTTCAGTAAATAGTTACAATTCTGCGGATTATATGTAGGTACAACATACCTTGATTCTGGTTTAAAATTCTAGCTAAATCTAATACTCGTGAAATGCTCCTCGCACAACCCTTTGCACGAACATATCCAAAACGGCTGAACCGATTCTAATGACATTTTGTCTATTATTAATTAGACCTCTCTTTCTCTCATATAGGTCATCCTCACACACTCACAATAAAATGGTTACTTATTCTACGAAAATATTATCTAAAAATAATGTAGGTATGTGGCAAGATTACCTTTGCCGGATCATCTAGTTTAAAACATACAAAATCTTGTCACTCTTTCGGGTTAAAGTATTAAACTTACCTTCACCTATTATAAATATTATTAAGTAATTTTCATATTAAGTAATATAATGTACTTATAAAAAAAAAACTTAGTATTTTACGTATTTATCTTATTTAAAGCTATTATGATAAGGGAGAACTATTTAGTGTCAATCGATTTACATTTTCATCATCTTTAATTTTAAAAAGGTAATTCAATGGAAACAGTGTCACATGGTGTTATTACAAGTAGATAAGAAAATTTTATTTGGTATTTTATAAAACAAATTTCACCTTTAAGCGAAATAAATTAAATCGATGGTAAACTTATTTGCTATTTTTCCTACGGCCCGACGTTTAGATATATTGCAGCAGCCGTGATCACGGGGGTCTGAGGATGGAGGATGTTCCTAATGTTTTGCTTTGGCAAAAATCTGCTTCGTTAGCGCTTTCTGTTTCCTCGTAGTAGATTCTATACTCTAACGGCCTTATTACAAAAAAAATAAACCAGGACTGGGAGTCTTGGTTTAACTCTTAAACCATGTTCTAAGTTAGTACCATAGTTAGTGCAGTACGGACGTAAAACTACGTTTTGTAATAAGGATGTATGTAGGTATTTTCAACTCGATTTAGTTCTAAATCAAATAATTAATACAATATAGTTAAAATATATAGTATATTTTGTTATAGATTATTAGATTTATTATAGATCTTTCGTAAAATTCTTTCTTTACACAAACTATTCTGTAATACAAATTTATAGATTCGCACGAATCTAATTAAAAAGTTGCATACAGGTCAAATTTTTCTTCGCAATATCGACATTTTGTTTATTACTTTATAAAGATGTCAATTAAGGCATAGTTGCAATCAATAATTGTAATAACTAGTTATTAGTTAACCGCTCGCCTTAGCAATTAAAGTTTAAATGAAATTTAACTTTGTTTTCTTAGCTATAAACTACTGATAGGGATCTGTGACATTTGCGTTGGAGTAGCTTGTGTGCACACTTAGTTTACTTGGATTAATTAAGTTAGTGATGATTGATTTATGTAGCTTAATTGTTAATTTAGCAATCGAAAATGTAGTATGATTTGATTCTAAGTTACAGTTTTGTTGTGGTCATCTTCTGTTATCGGCGTTTTTGATAAGTTACCCTTATCTACATACGAATCCACAATTACCATTTTGTAACTTTCTTTATTTGACAAGTTAAAAATACTCTCCTTAACCGACTAAGAATATTGTTACCAATGAAAGTACATAATGTTTATATCAGTTCCCGAATAGTTAACATACGAAACCTACCTTGTTTCCCTATTTTATTGATGTATACGGCGATTTCAAATATTTCTAGCCAAGTAATAAGGGCCAAAAGAGCAAATTGTATTATATCTATATACTAATACATAAAGCTGAAGAGTTTGTTTGTTTGTTTGAACGCGCTTATCTCAGGAACTACGTGTTCGAATTGATTTTTTTTTTAATTGTGGTTAGAGCATTTATTGAGCCTATATAGGCTATAAAACATCTCCCTGTGACTAATACAAGCGAAGGTACAGTGAAAAAGTGGACAAGATTGGGAAAATTATTCATCATTATAGATTTCCGAGGCGAACACTGCAAAAACGGTTCAAGATACCCAAAAAATAGAGAAATAGAAAAGAATGATTTCTCTTTAAATGATTTAAAAAAAAGTCCGCGACGCTATATTTCTATCTTCAAAGGTTAATTTGCAAGAACGACGGGAAGGGACGTTACCGACGTTGTAGGTAAAACCAATTTGGACGCTGGCACAGCTAGTGATAAGTATAGCTTTAAGTCCATTAGATTTTTTTATTCTGTAATTTTAATGGAATGGATAATATTGATAAAATAGACTTATACAATATTAAAGTGAAATAAGCGCCATCTGGTTTAAGAATAAAGAACACTGTGGTGCTAGGGTGCGTAAGTATTCGAAAGTCAGTCACTTCGTTTTAACTGTCCTAGTTCAAATAAAATTCAGTAGATGGTGCAGACATAAAACTTTATTATTATTTTATTTGACCTAAAACTTATTTAGTTTTATATTAAAACTAATTATAAGCACACAAAGTAAAATATACAAATAAAGGGAAATTATCCTATTTCTAAATACCATGTATACGTTTACATAGCTTATAGTTTGCTTTGTGAAAACAGTAGAGATAGTGCCATGCTGTCTCCAAAGGTAAGTGTGCCGTGTCGTACATACACTTGTCTATTAATTTTACTATTTGCCGTTTCTCTGAAAACAATAAACCGAATTTAAAAATACAATAAAAATAATACAAATGCAACGTACATTTCAGTATACACAGAACTATTAATAGATTAAAAATATAAAAGTTAAAATAAATTACCTAGATAAATATTAATATAGATTAAAAAATAATTTGCAACATTTAGGTTAGCTTATCAAACTTATAGAAGAAATTTCTAAACGAACTTATAGAAAGGAACTTAACGGTTACCAGGATAACATAACTAAAGTAGACTCATGGCAGCCATTTTGAAAATTTAAAATCCCTTTTCCTATAGTAACTCTTAACGGTATTAATTATACACGCACCTTTTTTGCTATGCGACTGTTGAAGTACCACATCCTGCCTCAGCACACCGGCTTCGGTCATCATATCCATCCTCTTGAGGTAGCAGAACGCCCAGTATTTTAGAGACGTTGTTATTTTCTAAAAAAAAAACTCTATTCATGGACAATACTTGTTCTCAAGTTGTGACGTTGGTAAGAAATAATTCCAATAACTCACAAATTATTATATATCTGGTAGGACCAGAATACCTAATAATATCATTCAATTTATTATTATTAATAAATATATGTGACGCATAATATATGGTTTGGTCAGTTCAATAAGATGCATGTCTTGACTAGCATATCGACAGCAATCGGGAGATTAAAGTTTTTTTTTAATTTAAGTAGAACTACTTCTACTAATGAAAATACGATACCAGGAGGTTATAACTACGAAATAGTTTAACTTACCGGCATACTCCAATACCCCGCTTTCATCTTCTCAATGTAATTCCTGTTGACTCTTGACTCCTTAGTGCATTCTTCTATGTGGTTCACTTTCTTGGCGTGTCTTTTTGTGCAGTCGAAAGGCGTGCTGGGCGAAGACGACGTTTCAGCCTGGAATTTGTTTTTATACTTTTAAAATCTAGATTTAAATTGGTGTTTTGGCCATATGTGTGTGCAATATTTACACTCTAAAATACGATCGTACTCTTAGACAATATCTTACGTCCACCATCACGAAGTCCTGGATACGATTCCAGGGCCGGGTAAAATGTTGGTTCAGGATTTATATTTTTTTGTAAAATCTTCTAGTATTCGATGGCGTTGCTAATTCAGAATTATAGGTATATGGTCGTGCGTTTGATCCCCACCAGAACCAACATGTTGCTAATTAATTTTCCTGAATTATATTGAACTTTGACTGGAAATCTGGTTATTAAATGTGTGTAAATATGGAAATTCCGTCCGGAACAACTCACAAATTACTGTACACATAAAAGGGCGTTGAAGTTTAATCGTATACCGTGTCAATCTGTGGATTTTCGAATTTTTAAACCCTTCAGCCTTATTAGTAGGCACCTATACATCTATCCTGCAGTGATTTTTATCTTGCTTTAAGTTAGTTAAGTTTATCTAGTATTGATAAGTGCCTGTCCTAATTATACGTGCTAGAAACTAACTAATAACTAACTAAAAATACCTGAACATAGTGGTAAATGAGAAAACACACGAGAAGTCCTTTGAGCGAATGCATTTTCTCAAGGCAAGTTCTATAATGAACACATTCGCCTCACAATCAGATGTCAACAAGACTGTATTGTGTAGTGGTTCATACAAACATTGAGGCATATTCATGCCTTTATACAGGGTGCATTTATCTAACAAGTAGTTGTGTTTCCCGATTATACACGTGAATAGAACTAGTACAGTTCTAAATAATTTACAACATATATTAAGTAATGCATTAAAATACATTTTAATGTTTAAAATGGTTAGTTTTCGTCCGAAGCTAGCCGCGGTCGTGTTCTAATTAAAAATAAGGTTTGTAATACGCTATCTTGCCGGCGACTTCGTCCGCGTGTAATATTATTTTGAGCGTCATAGTTACAATCCCCTCAGTTTTATAATTTATAGCTAGAAAGTTAGTCTTAGTATTATACTATAGATAGATCATTTAAGCAAAATCAATCTTTCAACATAATTTCTGGTTCTTAACCCATTTTCACACCGTACGTGCGTGCCTGTGAAAATGGGAAAGATAATTTTTTCTTATTTCCACATTTTCCTCTCTTTTTTCGCTCCTATTGGTCGCGACCTGATGCTATATCCCTCCTATCGTATGGCCTGCCTCGATTTATAATTCAATCAACACAAAAATAACTCTTCATTTGAACCAGTAGTTCTTAATATTAGCGCGATAACACAACCGGGTTTTTAGCTTTATAATTCTAATATATTTCGCGTTTTACATCGTTTATTTTAATTGTGTACTATGATGATGCTCGCGTAAACTACGATAGTTTTGGTTAAAAATTGTGACCTTTATAGAGTTATATTAAATGTTTTATTATTATTTTATTGACAACTATACCTAAATGTTTAACTGTAGGTAGGTCACCTGCGTGTCACAAGAGCATTTTGTGAAATTATCTTAAAAACGATATCCTTATTTTGCTGTTAGTTATTTTCATAGGATTTAATAGAGCCCCACTTTTTCTACCCTATTGTATATGCACGTGCGTAATCATAGCGTTCTCAAACAAAGGGCTTGACTCACTCTTAGACAAAACAATCGCTATTCCTATTAATAGCAATCTAATTTGGTTCAATTAATTGAAAATAGTATGATATTCGTAATGAGAAATGTAGACCATTGTTTGTGTATTAGCTTAGGTATGGCTTGGTTTAAATGTGGTTTAAGCGTGTGGTTTAAGTTAAATACTGTCCATGGTTTACGCGAGTAGTACACATTTAAATAAAACACTTTAACGGTTTAAAACGCGAAAATTCAAGTTAAAAATCATTTTTCAGTTATATCAATTACTTTCTAAGCTTTAAGTGTTCTGGTTAAATAAAATAATGTATAATTGAAATGAATTTAATTACGACCAGGCAGTATGCAGTTAATTTTTAGCAGCATATTTTTAAAGTTGGAAAACAGTTGGTCGATTTTCAAAGTTAAAGTTTTGCCAGGTATTCGTGTCAAGTTTATTGGAAAATGGAGTGTTTGGCGTCCTTCTCGTGGTAGCACTTGGCGTAGTTCCATGCTGTCTGCTGTGGGGTGTTTCCTTTGTTGGCCAAGCAGGTGTCGATCAGTTTCTCCACTGCTGGTTTGTCGGCTGTGGATAGTATAAGATGTCTTAATAATTATAATTTTTATACGTATGTAGATATTAATCTACCTGATTCATAACAGTAGGAATCGCATCTCTAATTTATTGGTCTGCCCCCCATTAGGACATAAAAGATTTAAACGGCTTGTTGGTGAACTGGTAGCAATGTATGGCCATTCATCAACGGGTCAAACATTTTTCTAATCAATTTATCTTTTGTAACATGTTGGATTTCGCCTAGAAATCTAGATATTAAATTGGTGGTAGGTAGGTAGTAGGATATTCCGTTCCGGTTGCGAACTACCGTCTATAGATGAGAAAGATTATGGATGTCCGAATATCCAAAGACAAAATAGGTTGACAGAGTAGTTTTTAGATGTTATATGACTGGGATATTTTACCTACCATCGAGTGAACCCTTCTCCATATTCTTCTATCATTAAAAAAAAAAAAACTTCTGGCATAATATAAATTAAGTGTTACTGTCTGTCTGTATATTTATAATTTACTTGAAGTCTTACCTTCATTGGGGACCTTAGCGAGAGCAACATCCTTCTTGAATTTGCCATCCTTTGTCATCAATTCAGATTTGATGAGCATGCAGAGTGAATACTTCTTCAGAGGTTCATTTTCGGTCTAAAATAAAACGACTCGTTAACACTAGCTTTTGAAAACTAAAGATTCACATGTTTTGCACACGATGGCACCGTAATAACAATATAATAATTAAAAATCAAATATAAATTGAAAATTTGCTGTTGCCCTAAGCATTTGAAGCTACCTACACACGTTATCGTCGAATTTTTTCAACCTATTGATAAATGCACCTCTCGCGCAATGTGAAATATTGAAACAAAAATTACAAGGCTTTGCAGTTTAAGAAAATCATTGAAGATGTAATTTCCATTTTAAATAAAACACCTTAACGGTTTTTATTTAAATGTGTACTACTCGCGTAAACTACAAACAGTATGGAATTTCCAAGTTTAACGTTTGAAAACTTTAAATATTTTTCAAGTTATTGCACAATAACTATCTACTAGGTCAATTGGTTAGAGCAACAGCAACGCTGTGGATGCCGCTTCAAGTCCTGCCCGATTCTAATTTTTTTTCAATTCATTATCGGTTTTTAATTTAACATTAGCTTCTGACAGTTATCGGAGAAAACCTTTATGGTTACTCAGTCTAAATATCTTTTGAAATACTTTGAAACTTAAAAGCTTTTGAAACTTTATGTACCTTGAAATCACCAGTCTTCAGTTTGCCAACGAGCTGTTCATCAGCCTTGGACTCGGCAAGACATTCAGTCCTGTGCTTCTTCAGCTTTTCCTTTTGCTCGTCAGTGAGGGCCTGGACAGAGTAAGTAAATTTTAAAGAAACCGATATACCTCACTTCATCGTAGGTGATATACCCCAGCCAAGATGTAATGTAAACAAGATGCGCGGTCGACCTATTTTGGCTTTGGATATTCGGAAATCCACGGACGGAACCGAAACGCTATTAACGCTGTTGACGGAGCCTTGTATTTCTTTTACATTGTCATAATTATAATTGTTTAAGCTCGTTCCAATTCTTGCACAATGTTTCAAGTTAAAATTGTACTTTTTTCATTCGTTTAGTTTTTTTACTACCCATTTTAGTTATAAACTTTGTACCCTGCGTAAACGGATTATCAATAACGGATCAATATTAATAAGTTATTTGCATTGAAATAAAACAGTAACGGTATCCGAAACACCGGGCCGTAGTTAAAACAATTTTCATACAACTAATATATATCGCGTTTAAAACCGTTAAAGTGTTTTATTTTATTGTGTACTACTCGCGTAAACTACAGGCAGTGTTGTATATTTATCACATAAATATTTGTTACATATAGTTTAGAATAAAGACCTGGTTACAAATAAATATTAATATAATACAATTTTAGTTTTGATATGTACAGTCCAATTATCAAGACTTAATTATAATGCAATTTCAAGAAAACTAAGTACCTGAACGGCTACTAAGCACACGAACAGAACTGCGAAAACCTTCATGTTGCCTTGTCACTAACAAATCTAAACAGAAATTCGTCGCTCTTACATTTATAGGAACGAACTTTGCTCGTTTTGCTCTGGCTAAGCGCGTTCCGAGTTTTTGTTTACTTTTTTCACGACCTTTTTGGGGCTGTGTAGTTTTTGCTCCAATTGAATTATTTATTTTAAAGTCAGAAGAATGTGGCGTATGTTCTTTTACAAAATATTTTTTATTAATGGCAGCTTTTAAATGTAGAGTCTATAAAAGAATATGAAGATACAGAAAGAAACTGTGATTAGTATAGCTATTTTATAGATGATAATAATCTTTAGTTAACCTTTGATCTACTTAGTATAAATTGTCAGACTTGTAATCTCAATATAACTTTGGATTATACAGAAAATAAAGTTCTTATTTGATTCCTTTAAGGATCCCTAAATCGTAGAAAAAAAGGGATGATCAACCGTTTAATATATGCTTAAAAACGGTCGTTAAACAAGTTTTATTAGTTGTTTTAATTAAAACCAGTCTATGGTAAATCAGGTATCGTTGCTTTCGATGTGTGAATTGATTTTGTTGCTATGCGCAATTTAAGAAAGATAATAAAGCTATAAACACTATTCTACTAGTAGATTTAATTTAAATGTAAAAAACTGATATGAAATGGCGTTCATATGTGGGTTGGCGTAGACACACTTCTGTGTCACGGATTGATATTATTTACAGCACTTGAACACCTGTGATCCTCCTGGCTAAAACTGTTTGTTAAGTTTCCCGGGCTTTTATTATCTTTACCATTACGGCGCTCTTTTAATAGGTATTTTAAAATGCTATATTATCATTGAAATATATTTGTTTAACTCAATTCACGTAAATAATAAAATTAATTTAAAATAAGACATTCGGTTTACCCTGAGACATATTATATACAAACTCTTTAAACCAGGGATGCACAAACTTATTTAAGACTAGGAGACATTCGTGCAAATCATGAACTGATGGCGGGCTGCCAGAAGATAAGTAATTAAAGACAATAAACAATTGGTAATATTGTATTAAAATTGAAAAATAATTTCTTAATTTGAGTAATATATTTACTGTCGGCGGGCCACCAGTATTTGACCGGCGGGCCGCGATCTGTACATCTCTGCTTTAAATTAAACTATACTGAAAGATTCTACAACGTAACAAAAAATCATTTTTATGAGATATGCATTCGAAATTTAAATTGAAAACTACTATTAAATGATCTCACCTGAACGGCCAAAACGCAGACGGCTAATACAAACAGGGACTTCATTTTGCAACAAACACAAATGACACTATGTCCCAGGAACACAAAGTCGTCCTTATATAGTCATTCCTAATGGGAGATAATCTCAGATTAATCAGTTAGCGATTCGGCCTACAGAAATGAAAAACATTTTTCAAAATTACCCTGTTAATAGTAGATGACTTGATATGCCCTGCCCCATGAATTGAATACCTACTTAGTTTTTAAGAAAATTTTTGAATGCATTCTATAAGAACTCTTATACAGAATTTAAATATCTTTATAGTACTTATTAAAATATAACTTTAAAGTCTAAACCGAAAATGTAAACAAATATCAGATAAACACGTGCATTAAGGTATATTTTCATAATGTCATTTTTTATGATCACTTAGCAAAATGTTGCGTACCCCTGACCTGGCTGCGTCCTGCGTAGGTCACTGTGGAAAGATCTGGGCCTAACTTGTATTATTCTTTTTAGACATCAGACACACTACAGGATTCTTAGAAGGATTGTAAATATTATTTTATTGTATAGATATTTGAGATAAGAGGATCTTTTTTATTTTTGGACTGGTGAACGACAGGGACATTTTGATTTCTTTTCTTCGTTTTTGTGTTAATATGCAGATATAAAATCATTTAAAAACGTTTGTAGTTAATTATTCGTACCCCGTTATTATTTTTATCTCGTTCGTAGACTTACCACAATAAATAAATCAAACTAGAAAACAAATGTCTTCATTCATTTCAATAAAACACTTTAACAGTTTAAAATGCGAAATATATTAGTTAAAATAATATTCAAATAAATTTAATATATATCACGTTTTCCACCGTTAAACTGTTTATTTAAACACCTAGAAGAAGATATACAAAGAATATCAAAGTTACATGTATATATGGGATTATAATAGAAAGACCTATAGTATGTAAGCAAAGTCCAAATTTTAATAATTAGAATATACCGTAACTGAGAAGAAACGGCATCAATTCATTATTAATTTAAGCTTCCTTTCACTGTTTAATTAAAAATTAAAGCATATGCATAGTTGAATTCTAAAGATAAAAGAAAACAGTCAAGTACCACTCAGCAATTAAGCTTTGCGACGTCTTTTAATATTTCAAAAGGGCCGTGTCTACGCTGTTTTCTTGAAAACTACTTTCACATTTTGAATACAATCTGTGCTAGGCTTTAGATGAAAAAAAAGTGTATGCAGACTTACTTCCTAAATATGTTTATATACGCTTTTTGTTTACGTCATAATAATATTTAAGATCTATTGTGACAGATATATTAATATGTTTGTGACTTACATTTCTTCTGTAAATAAGGAAATATATATCTCTTTTCATTTGTCCATCAAATATCTAAATTCAAAAACTATATTTAGATGTATACGAACTCTAGGCTTTAGTTGAATTGATGTATACGGAATTATTTTCTTATATTCTTAAAAGTTAGTTTGAGGTTTTTTTGCGTCAGACATATATACGACTTTAATTTCTTTTTTTTTTGTTTGTTCATAATCTATATATATTCTAGTATATATAGTAACAATTTTAAGGAACAACTTCGTTTTATCTATAATGCATATATTTTTAAACTGTAGACATTTTTGACATAATTAGTTTTCAGAATAGAAAAGTGAAATCTCGTTTCCTCGTGGGGCATAGGGCAAAGGGCAAGCACATTTCTGTGTCCGTTCCACTGATTGGTTCATTTACAAGCGGGTAGTCATCATCTGCGCCCTGCCCGACCGAAACAATATTTTGCCTTCCCTGAGATTCGAACCTAACCGATTTGGACACAATGGCATAGTGAATTGGCATAGTGAAAACCGACGCGTTCGGGCATTTTCCACCTAATGTGTCGCACGGCAACGACGCTAAGTGATAAATTGGTGCAATCAACAATAACACGCAGTAATCTCGACTCGCATGATTTATTATTGAACGTTGACCCTCGTGACATCTGCCAATGTTGTTGGCACCTGATATTTCACCTTTAATTGCTTATACCAAAGTCGTCTTCAATTATACCATTTACTAACAGCTATAATTAAATAAGCTCTCTTAAATCTAAGTTATCTGTGCTTTACTATAGCTTTTGAGATTCATAATAAAGATAACGAATCATTACATTTTGAATTGACGTAAACCGAATTAGTATTTCTGTTTAAAATATTGTGTTCTAAATAAGAACGACTAAATGCAGTTTTGTATTTAATTGTTTCGTGTTTTGGCGGTTGTTTTGTGATCGGTTTTATTTTCAATTAAATAAATGAATAGGGCTTAGGGCTTTTAATAAATTAATTAAATAATCTAGTCTTAAATTTGTTCTCGAAAAAAAATTACGACAATGATATCTTTGAAGGGTTATTAAACAAATTTCTCTTAAGTATATTATTTTGGCCGTCATTAGATTTATCGACTATTTATGTTCTTAATTACTGTGGATTACTAAATTAAGTTTAACTGAAAATATGCCTAAAAAGAGACCCTTGTTGGCTCTAGTTTTATTTCAGTACGGATTTGAATTACTATTAATGTGGTGTTTGTAGATAGTAAAGTTATATAAATAAAAACTTAATAACACACTCAGAACACATAGAATTAATCTGCCCTGTGCCCCATTAAGGAACAATTTTTAGTTCTAGTGGTCAGTGGGACGTAAGTTCGATCCCCACCGGATCTGACGTGTTTTTAAATATTTTCCAAAAATCCAAAATCGTTTCGGATAGTATCCAAAATTTTTGGACTTCGTTTAGAAATTTGGATATGAATTGGGTGGTAGGAATATTAAAATTCCGCCGGGGTCACAAACCACCGTCTACAGATAAAAAACGTGAAGATTGATCTTGTTTTAATTTTCTTCTGTAACTAATACGACAGTACTTCTTCCTAATTGTTATACATCTAGGGTATTTCATCTTTCATCAGAGCATAAGGGTTATGCTTCCTCCAAATTGTACCCACCGTTAAAAACAAAATCTATGTTTAAGAGTTAACGGTTATTATCAAAGTAATCAAGTGAAACAGTAAACGCCTATTAAACAATCAGAAGCTAAACAATTTTGTGTAGGAGTTTATTTTCCTCGTTACATCGAGGTCGATTCTTGATGAATTAATCCGTTCAATTCATTTGATTCCAGTTGCCTGCACCTTAAAACTGGATTTAGTTGGAGTACAACGGAGGACTCATCTACAATTTATAATTCCCACGGCTGGGATCAATATCAATATTACATATTTTGTAAAATGGTAAAAGAAAAATGTTATAAAAGAGTTTTAAATACTATTTGTGCATAAAGAAATATCTTGTTTCATAGAAAGATAAGGCCGCGTTTCCAAAAAAAATACTATGTACTGTTTCTCTAAAGTATTCTTTGTGGAATTTTTAATTAAGTGTTTTTTTTTTATAATTACGGTTATACTCTCCTGTCTCCTATACCTCTGTCCGACATACTGTTTTCAGCGTATATAGCAAATATCGAAGTTTCCTTCCTAAACTAACCACTAAAACATAAAGCTATATTTTTATTAATACACAATAAACTAATAGCATCGTAGGCCTAAAGTCTCCTATATAATGTTTAAATAAATATCGACAGACTTGTCTATCATTTAAACATGGCAAAACCAAACCAATATTGCTCGCTAGTGTTACTTCGAATTTGAGTGAAAATCTTATGTAAGTACCATGTTAATTAGCCATTACGCTTAGCTTTGAGCCTATGGTCTGCTGCATTACCCAAAGGTCGATGAAAACGCTGCAAAATTAATTTAATGTCTGGCAGCGTTCTGCGCATGCGTATATCTTTTGAGACGTCAAATAAACATTTTAACGTCAAACGTGCACTTCTCGTGTTAACTTGTAAACAGTGCCTATGTGATAATGGAAGTTTTATTTAATAGTAAGTGGTGAATAAGTATTTATTTAAAGATATCTGTTGATTAAAACATACTTAAAATTTAATTAAACCTAACGTGGTGACCATTGTGATTATATTTGCAAGTTGTGTTTCAATAAAATATTATCTAGTGTTATCAAATTAATTTTATTTTTATATATTTAGTTAATAAAAATGTTTGTAATAATTATATAGTAGTAGTAAATATGTATAAGTAAGGATATAACATATTTGATTATGTGCAAAGACGTAATCATTGAAAGTAATTGTTTGTTTTCAATTTAAAATTATTGCGTTTTTTTGTCAATCATTATTTTATATATACTTAATTCTATTGTCAAATTCAAACTGTCAAATCGTTGTCTCCGTGTCATTGACAGTTTTGTGTATTGCGCACCAACTCGTTCCTAACTTCATTCAGTACGTAAGCAAAACACCGGAGAAAGAAAACTCAACTAAAATTATTAAAATCCCTTTTATATATCTATGGGTTAATACAACGAAATTCTTTATCGGATATTGTGGTGTTCACAGTTTTGTATCGTCGGATTGTTTGCGTTGGTAAGTACAGATACGAACATAAGCAACACGCAAAAAGGCTTAGAAAACCTTTTAAACATAAAAACTTCTTATATGTATGTGTTACTACTCGCAGAATAAGTTACACAATTTTAAATTTGTCATTATGGCTATATACAAAGTATTATAAGGGTTATCGTATAATTTTCTTAAGAGTAAAAACAATCGTATATAAACACAACCAGGTCTTATTGCATAAACATAATTAATCATAACTTAAATACTAAATTCGCTTTCATATTGTTAATCTTAATTTAAGTAAATTGTTAGTATCAAGTAGCGTGTGGAACAAAAATAACTCGTTTAATTTGTTTTTGAATTTGTGTAGTTTTTTCAATCTGTGGTAAAATAAACGTAGAATACATCTATAAGTATAGGTATACATTTGTATGTATAAAATAATTAAATTTAAACTTTTTTCTGTGACCGTGAGATATCGTAATTGGGGTATGTAGCGAGCATTGACATCAATTAAATAATAGCGCACTAGGGGTGGTCTGCACTGCGCTCAATCGATTGTAGCACCGCGCAGGCGCCGTGGCCCCAGCGCACGTCAGTGGCGGTCGGTCGCGAGAGGCAGGAAGTCTTCAACATGCCGAAGACCAAACCAACACCCGTCGAGGACCTGATAATACCGCCGCAGGACCAAAAGATATGCGGAACGATCTGCGTTTGCCAAATGACAGCGGTTCTTAGCTGCGTCGCTATCGTCTATCTGACCGTAGCTATCTATATGCCATATACCCGAGCTATTGCTTCCGGAATTGATCCGACACCGATCATGTGCACAACAACAAGGGCTGTCAACAAAGATAACTGCGATTGGGGCTCGTGTGGCGAATGGTGCTTGAGCAAAACGTCCGGTGCTTGCATCCAAATCTACGTCAACGTTAGAAACAATGGGTCGTCACTACTTCTCTCTGAATGTGGAAGCGCTGCTAACAAGACTTGCTATGGTATAGACCAGGAGAACGCCAAGAAGTACCACTGTATTCGAGACGAGTGTAAAAATCTTACTGGGACTTTTAATTGTACTGAGGGGAAATGTATAAACATAACGGACGCTTTTGAGTGCGCCTTCCGGGATACGGATCCACCGTTGAAATGTTCTGGTAGAAGAGGCAAGATAACGTGCATAGATGTCCACGGATTGTTCTCATGCAATCGGGGGACATGTCGAAAGATACGTACGCCGTATAACTGCGATCGGCGATGTGTCGATATTCCGACCCGCAACAAGAATGTTATAGTTTTAAGTGGGGATAGGGTATTTCTAGCAAGATGTACGAAACTTGCTAAAGAAGAAGGCGGAGAAATAGTATGGACAGATAACGGTGAAGAAGTTATAATGCTTTCGTGTCATGCTGTTCATAATGGGACTTCGGGAGTGGTCGCTGTCGACTGTATTAATGCTGCACTATTGCCTCGCACAGAAATTTCCGATTTAACCAATTTTACCTACTTACAGTATTTATACACCTTAAAAGCCACACCGAATAGAGTTATAGCACCGTCCGAAGTTGAATTAACTTTAGCTAATGACAGCAGATTGATGATTAACTTAGAAGGTTGTGTAAATACGCTTGCAGACGAATGCAAGGATTTCCTTAAAACGTATGGTAGAGATGGAACAGATCATAATGCAAAAGCGAGATTCCCATGTTTCCATACAGAAAATAATCCGGAGACAGTTGTTGCGAGATTTGATCTGGACGCCACCTATCGGCAATTTATAGTAGCCCTTATACTTCCCACCGTACTGGTTGTGGTCTCGTGTATAACGTTGATGTTGTGTCAAAGGACGGTTGAAGTTGGTGACGATGCTAAAATGCGATTCAAGGCCTGTGGTGGTGGACAGTCTGAGATGCAAATGCATCCGAACGATCCTGTTTCTCCCCTCTGAGATCAGTCACGTAAGCGCTTTTGCAACTGAAGCCTATATACAATATATGCTACAATGTAGCAATTACCATTTCCAAAATATATTACTATATCTAAAATCTAAAATGTAATTACATACTACTAAACTACACAATGCTATTAAACATTGATTTCTCATTAATACAAAGGGCCATAAAATATTTCTTGTGACCTTGGCACCGATGCCTTATTACAAATTCTGTGGAAATTCCACCGCTATACTTGCATGTGATTCCGCTGAGGAAATTGCTTCTAAATTTAACAACGTATTGCGTCATATGTATCTATTTTTGTAATAATGTATATTCTTTTAACGTAATACTATCAAAATTTGTAACATCAGTCTTTTTGATAATATATTTCCATATTTGTTGAGTTTTTAACAGATTTACTTTTTCTATTTCAGGCGTTCCCCTCCTCTGCGAGGGTCCGGCTAGTTCACTCAGAGACGATTAAAAGCTTTCTACTTTCGTAAACAAAAGCTCTCCCAATGTCAACGTTAAGCAGATCACGGGCGACCCTGTCGCCCGCTACATCCGAGAGATCAACTCTACCTATGGGTGCAACAACTGACCCAGGAAGCCAAGAATTTACGCCTCTAGAACCGACACGGGAGCAGCTACTTGCACATTTCTTTGAGCGCTTCAAATTTTACACTTCTCTTTGCCTAGGCACGTCGGCTATACTTGCAGTATTTGCTTTTCTGTTCTTAATTCCCTTCGTCGTGGAACCGGCGATACAAACTATCCTCGCTGAGTTTGCTCCTGAAGCTGGAATATGTAGTGTATCAGATCACGTTTACGCTCAAACCCTGACGAATTGCACTTGGGCATCGTGTAGAGAAGGATGTACCACGATGCATACAAAATGCCACAAAATCAAAGTGAATCTAGCGAGGCGACCTTTCTTTGGTAACGAAACCCTGCCGATAGAATGGGATGAAACCGATTTGAAGTTTTTGATAAACCCCGAAGGTTGCGGTTATCCTCCAAAGGTGAATTGCTCAGTGTTCGCCATCGATTATGCAGGAAGAAATGCGCCCAAGATATTCCCATGTTTCTACAGCATGACGAGGCCAGAGCTAGTTGTTGCAAGATACTCTTGGGAATCGACGATACGAGGGTTGATTCTGGCGTTGGTGTTGCCGACAACGGTCTTCGTGTTTAGTCTAAGTGTCCTTGCGTATTGGCACTGCCACTGCTGTGACAGAGCCTGTAATCGAAGGGTTCACGCCGAATCATATACGAGTAAAGAAGAGTAAGTAACTGTATCGTGTTAATTCAATTAGACCTTTTATCTATGGAAGAACAATTGGTTTTACCGATTTGATTTGCCTTTCGATTTGTAAAGTACCACAGTATACAATAGTAGAGAAGCATGATATTCGCATGTTTTTTTTTCAATTCTAGCCAAATTAGTAAGTCACTCGACTTCCTTTTAACTCGATTACGCGAATTATCTCATCATACTCGTGTTACAGTAACAAATTGTTCACTTACGCAAATGATGTGAAGTGGACAATTAGCTCTTAAAAGATGGAATAGTTCTTGATATGTCTTATGAGATTGGTGATTACAGGACAACTATCAAATACCAGTTCAAAGAAGAGTCCTCATAGTATCAGCTATAGATAACAAGTTTTTATTTGCAAGTACGTTTTATGTTACGAACACTTAGCAGTGTGAGGTTGGGTTTTAGCTTCTTCACAATAAAGTTTCCACTGTATTTTCGCAAGCTATTCCTTATAGCTAAGGTTCAGTATTAGAGGGTAGTTATCCAATCTAGCTGTAGATTCACCTAGCGTAGTCTACATCTACCCACATAAAATATTGCTACTAAACATTAGACCCGTGTTTAAGACATTCACTGTTGTCCCAGGCGTTATAACCTAAAAAAGATATATTATAATGATGAGTTCCATGGTGTATAAGAGCATTTATATTCGTTTCGATGGATCCTTGAGGTAATTAAAATGTTCTGAATTTCTATTGCAGTAGCAAGCTGCTTTGTGAACTGGATGATGACCCAACTGACGACGTATTCTGACGCCAGGCTTCCACTTTTCCACGACGGCGCACGTCCCCAAGAAACAATGGTTACACTCAGTTATAAATCGACGGATAATAATGTAAAGGAAACATTTTTCTTATTGTATAGGATCTGTTTTTGAATGCCATGCCTGTCCACGATAGTTTGATCGAGTAAATGAAATTTGATAAATTATGAGATTGACAAGATGGCCGCTGTCAAATATTAAATTTTGTCAACCTCAACACCGCAACTATAATGCATGATGTCATTGATACAAAAAGTCAGAAAGACGCCTAAAATAAGAGTATGCTTTATTTGAGAATTTATTTATTTTTTTTTTTTTTTATTTTTTTTTAAAAAAAAAAAAAAAAAAAAAAAAAAAAAAAATTTTCCTAAAAAATATTTATTTTGTATTGTTACGGACAATAAATTTCAAATAAATTATTAATACCACGAATTGTAGTAAGGGTATATGAATATTTTAAGACAAATCATTTATAGGGCTTATGTTTTTTAAACACACTTAGCGTTTTTTTTATCACTTATTTTAGTTTGGATTGAAGTTTGCGTTTTATAAACTTATTTTTTTTAATGTATTCGACTGTTATTTGTACTTATCATGTTATGTACCTTATTTTGACTCATAGTCTGCATTCCTAGTGACATATAGATCACTCTCTACAGACCACAAAACAAAGTACAGGTTATTAAGACAGAAGACCTAGACCGGTTTAAAGTAACGTATTGTCGTCGTTTTAATGTGATCTGATATAGAGTTTGTAACTATGAGTTTGAAAGACAAAATCTCATTTCGTAACCAAAATATGGGAAACGGTCCTCAGTATTTAATAACATTTTGATTTAAAACTTACAAAAATGGGTGATAACTTTTATCCCAACAAAAGCTTTACGCTATCCAAGCTGTGTCGAATTGATTTTGCAATCCAAAAGTTGTTAAATTGAATGATTAAACGGTATTAGATGTAATACTCATTATAAATGTGGTTATTATTTTTGCGAAATCTTTTATAATTAATTGAAGAACGAATAATGACGTTTGTGCATCCAGTAATTGCCTTACAAAAATTAACATAAGAAGATGAAAATAGACAAAACATGTTCTCTGCATCGTCTTTTCACATCACTAGAAAACTAATAGAAAAGCTCTCATTTGTAAGGTATTAAGTTGTATATTCGTCTCTCTCTAACTTTGAACTAGGCCGGATAGCTTTCTCTAAGTGTAGTTAGATAATTCATGTTTATCCTTACAGAGATTTATTACTATAAGATTGTTTTTAATGTAAATATCTGCATGGTTAATAGATTTTATAAGGCTTCGCTATTTTATATAAATAATGCTTTTAATTCAAATGTGAAGAAATTGTAAGAGGCAGTTGGATTTTTCGAATTTAAGAGTGCTTTAAATTGTACACTGTTTATGCGCAGTGTCACGCCGGCACTTCATCCATTAAAATGTTTTAATATTCCTTACTAAAGTATCCTGTGGTTTCAAAAATGTGCAACAAATAAAAAAGCCTGACCACTATTATATAGCTTTTCACGCATAATGAAGTCTTCAAGTCTTCAAGATGATTCAGTTATCAGGCAGTATTCAAAAATTTTATTGTACTGGTATAAAAGGAAAATCCATCTGTTTGTAAAAATACATCAAATAATTTTTACAATATTATAAACAGCTGTTATTTATTAATATTACCATATTTACATAAATCATCTATATTTGACCTCAAATTACTTATAACCAATTGTATTTAATGTTTACAAAACAGAAAGGCTTTAATTTGTGCTTTGCTTTTAAGTCACAGACTTGTTAACTAAATTTTATTGTCTATATCAGCTTTAAGTATAATTTTAAAATCAATAAATACTTCGATAAAACTACGATGTTTCTAATATTATGAATTCTAAAATTGTGATGTACGTGTTAAATAATTTATTATACAGTACTGTATATTACCTTCGAGAATAAATCTATTGTAAATAATTTAAAACTTGTAAGTACAACAGTTATATCAATATAATTTGTGTAGTAAGCATGCAAGACACAAAGTGTTATGACAAATAAATGCAAGGCTTTTTTAACATTTTATTTGTTTCATACCTTCCTACCTAACAAGTTAATGTAAAACGCAGAGTTTTTTTAAAGGATATCTCTTTGTCACATTGTAAAGGGTTTAATAGAGTCTCAGGTGGATGACGTATTAAATTTCGTGAGATCTTATCGCAGTAAGAATCTAATCGACTGGCAAATAGAATGCTCGATAAATAAATAAAATATTTGTTTCAAAAAGAGCAAGTTATATACGTAAAAAACACTTTTTATGGTCTACAAACATATAATATATTACTTTCGAGGATTTAAAGGAATGAGCTAAGAGAACTTACTTCAATTATTACTTTTGAATTGATGTCATTATGTGCAGAACTCGCCCTTAAGATGTGAGAACGAAGAGTTATTTAACTTGTTTAGTTTCTGCTTATCGTATAATAAGAAAGCCATGCGAATAGACTGCCATCGTAACGCATTACGTAACGAACCCGTAAAAAGTTACCACTTCGATAGAATTTACGTTCAGTTCTAATTGTCACGTAACTACGTAAACTGAATTACAAATAAACACGACTGTATTGTTTAAATACAACGCTTTAACGGTTTAAAAACACGATATATATTAGTTAAACTTATTTTAAAATGATTTAAATTACGGCCCGACGTTTCTAACTGATATTTATCACGTTTTAACCCGTTAAAGTGTTATATTTCAATGTGTACTACTTCCGTAAACTACAGACTGTACAGAATAGTTGCACACAAAATTGAAATACATATTCGCAGATTTGCATTTCACTTTCCGTGTCTGAAACAAAGGGTTACAAAAACTTAATGCTTTTAATTTCCTATAATGTTTTACGGCAATGCAGTAGACGTTATTCCGTGGTGTTAGGTCGTTGAACTCTTTAAATATTGAATGTAATGACATATTGAGACTGGCAGGGTGGTTTTAGTGGCAATAAAATTTCCTTTTCAATGTCTAAGACTTCACTGGACTGCAGATAGAGTTTTTTTTGTATACTATCCACGACTTTATATGGAACATTTGTTATAATTTATTTGATATATCGTATGTTTATGAAGAAACTTGCTGTGCCAGCGACTTCGTCCGCGTAGAATAATTATTTGGCATCAACATTTGTTTTTGCATCGCCCTCGTCACCTTAATAACTTATAGGTGTTGTCCACGACATCGGTCGCGTCTCGTTTTTCTTGCAAGTAAATCTTAAAGATGGATATATATGATCACAGACATTTTAAAGAGGAATAATTCTTTCATACATAAGTTTTGGTTTGAGCCGTTATCGCAGCGCACGTAGCGAGTAGATACCCTCAAAGAATACTTTCCCCCGTTTGTTACATTTCCCACTGTTTCATCGCTTCAATTGCTCACAGCATAATGTTTTACCCTCGTTACATGGTCTAAACAACATAAAATACTGTTTCAATTCGAAGTGGTTGTGAGATTAGCGCGTTCAAACAAACAAACTAATCAGCTTTATAACATTAGTATAGATTAAAGAGAACATCGAAGTTGCATATGTACGGTAGAAATCTCAGATTTATAAGGTCGTCGCGTCGAATAGTTGAGGTCTCTGAAGAAGAGATTCAGTTGGAGACACACTAAAAGTTCAACTACGTGTTCCTACTGCTGGTCTTTTTTGTTTTAGTTCCAGGACATGACCAGGACGTGACCTCACTAATAAGGAACTCTCAAAAGCCAGGGAGCCAAACTAGTTTTTTTTTAACTAAAGATAACCTCAGTTCACAACTGACGTGAAAAGCCTTTATGTTCGAAACAATACTTACTTATGCTGTTTTCTAAATAGTGCAGCGAACAAGCGCTAATCACGCCGTGGCTATGACCTATTTCTGTCTAGAATCTAGATCTTAGATAGCACTAGACCATTCTCTTTGAGTCTGGAAAAATCATAATTGGTCCGTTCGCCTTAGTGCTTTCTCTTTTCAAGCAGAGTACGAATTAAGGTCAAATTTTGATTTATTCTTTAAAATGAAAATCTAATGTTTAAATAAAACACTTTTGACGGTTAGAAACGTGAAGTTTTGTAAACTTATTTGCAGTTTATTTATAGTCCAGCCCGACGTTTCGGATGCAGCCGGGGTCACGGGGCGACTATAAATTAGTTAACTACTCAACATGTTTTATTTAAATATATACTACTCACATAATTTAAAATTATAGAAAATACTAGAATTTCACATCTTTTAAGATAAGAGTTCTCTATAATAATTTTAATTTAGCACTTTAAAATAAGAAAATGTAGAAGATATAGAGATATTTTAAACTCGGTTAGGTATTAATTATATTGTAAATATTAATAATAATATTTTAATTGGTTGTAACAAATCTGTTTTATTGCTATTTCGTATAGTACACTTTAGACATTTATAACGAATCTTTGACTTTTAACAATAATCTGTACAACGCAAAAGACTATGATTATCTCTAGTGGAATCGTAAAATCTACCGTGTCACATAATAATAATGATGTTGTACTTTGTACCGTGCGTTGTCGACGTATTATGGAACAGACTGAAAACGAAATTCGAATAAAATTTACGAATTTTCGTCTGTTCGTGTCTCGGGCGGAATTATGATTTTCCTACCAAAATTAAATTAAAAATTTCACAAAAAGAAAATATGTTTGACGCGGTTGGGATCAAATCAACGACCGGTTGATTATTAGCCATAAATTGCTACCATTTTACCAACGTGCCTATGTCTAATATTTATCAATAATAGTTTAAATGAAACAAAAAACAAATATATTTAGAATCTGTCAGTGCTGGTATTATATATACCTTACAGGTTATGGCGTAGTATTTCAAGTATACAGTATAACGACTTTTCACGTTTATAGTACAATTTCAAAAAGCTACCATTTTTATGACCTACGAGGCTACGGAGGTGCTACGCCGT